AGATAGATAGATAGATAGATAGATAGGACATATAGAGGATACATAGGTAATCAGTAGATATACATGTTTGTATGTCTGTGTTGGCCTGTATGGACCACATACATGCAGTTGAAGTACATGTATACATGGCTCAATACCTCCACCTACTGGCTTCATGTACTTTTAGGTTGTTTAAATAAACAGTTTCTGTTTCTTACATGAAATATTACTGTGAGGATCAAAGGGAATGTGTGTCAGACGCCAAGTACTTGAATGGGAATCCTGAAAATACACATCAGTCTTTATTAACAACTGTATCACTACATAAATTAGCAAAGGCACACTGGCAGATTGTTCACAGTTCCCTTTTTTTTTTGGCCAGTCCTGGGGCTCGACTGAACTCAGGGCCTGGAAACTGTTTCCTGAGCTGCTATTGCTCAAGGTTAGACCTCTACCACTCTGCCACAGCTCTACTTCAGCTTTTTCTTTTTTTTTTTTTTTGAAGCTGATTGGAGATAAGAGTCTACCAGACATTACTACCTGGGTTGGCTTTGAACTGGGATCCTCAGATCTCAGCCTCCTGAGTATCTAAGATTATAGGTGTGAGCCACCAACACTGGGCTGTATTTACCTTTAGAAAATGGACTCACTACCTACTCCATATGTTAAATTAGAGTCCTTCATACCACTTGGTCAATTTGGGACCAACCATGGAATACAAACTCCCTACAGACTAACCTTTAGTACCAGGCAAGGCACAGCTTGGACACCACGAGTTTACTGACCAGTTCCTGTATCCTGGACACTGGGTAATGCATGACCGAGCCTGGTGGACACTCCTTGAAAGAAAATGTGAGGAGACAAACAAGACAACACTTTCTGTCCACTGTGGTGGAGCATACCTCTAAGCCCAAATATGAAGGAGGCGAGGATGGGAATGGCCATCTGAGGTGAGTTCACATGAAGGGAAACAATGTTGGGGAGAATCTATCTGGAAAACACCAACTGGGCACTGTGGGACCCACCTGCAAGCCATTACATGGGAGGCAGAAATAGAAGGATCATGGTCTGAGGTCTGTCAGGACAGATGAAGAGCACGAGACCGTACCTGAACAAATTGAACTAAAGCTAAACAGGCTGGGAGCATGGCTTAAGGGGTAGAGTACTTGCCTAGGTAGCACAAGGCCCTAAATTCAATCCTTAGTACCGCCAGTTAATTAATTAATCTATTATTTAAGTGATATGCAAAAGCACACTGGGGGCTTGCTCATGTGCTTGTTCTTGCCGGGCTAGCCCCAAGTCCTGCTTTCAATCCCCAGTATCTCTCTGTCTCTTTCTGCTTCTCTTGCACATAAGAAAAGTTAAAAACAACAGAAAAGGAGAAAGAGAGAAGAGAATGGGGAGGGAAGGATGCAGAAGACACCTGCTGAGGGTCCCTGGGCCTAGGAGAGGGTAATAATGTAGAAAAGAGGAAGAGCAGAGACTAGCAGGCTTAGCCCAGTGCAAAGCCACCCTGAGCTCCGTTCTGGTGGCTCTTCCCTCACAGAATAAGCCCATGAGACCATGCGGGGGACTTCAAGGTGAGTCCTGTGAGGTGGAATTGGGGGCTGGAAGGGGGAATACAAGTGGAAGTTGCACGGAGGAAGGACTGGACAGAGGACCATCCAGTGCAGACAAGCTGGGATGAAAAGTAGGGACTGAATCTCTCAGGTCCAGAACATGTGCCCGGGTCTAGGCTCAGCAGGGACAGCAGCAGAGTTTACACAGTGGCCAATGGTCAGAGGCCAGAATCTATTGTGGATGGAGAATCAACTAGAAAAACAAAGAGGGCAACCAGTATTGGAAAATGGTATCATGTGGGCCAGGGCAGAGGAGTGCGAGCAAAACCCAGGGGAGATGATAGAGAGCCCCACAGGAGCAAGACTCCAGAGCCGCAGGCCAGGGCTCTGCTCTCAGCCCTGGGGGAGAAGCCTGGCCTGTGCAGGCCAGGGAAGGGGGTCGGGGCATTCTCCTGAGGAACGCAGGCTGATTGGTGCTTTGTATAACCGACTGACAGGAAGGGCAGTACTGAGCCAAACTCAAATTAATTATACCTGTTTGCAGTTACCAGATAGGACATTTCACAAGGATCTGTTGCAGTAATGTAAAATATTAACGTTTTTGGTACAGCAACAAGAGCATGCCCATTGTGGTCATTAAACATTGGACTGTGTTTCCTCCTGTCCTCATGATACCCCCTGACTCAGAATGTTACTTGAATGTCAACCCGGGCCCAGTCTCAGGAGTCCCAGAGGCACGGAGAAGCCAGCAGTCCATTCTTCTAACTCATGATAATGGCCTGAACGGTTATTTACAGGACATTCTTAAAGCAGGTGATGGTGCTCCTGATTGTGTTTTACTTTGTGTTTGTCAATTCTAATTACAAAGCCTTTGGCCAGTAGCGAGGGGGAAAATCTTTGTGGATTTTTAACTCGGCACTCTGGCCAGTAGTAATCAATAGTAAGTAGAAAGAACAACTCTAAGCTCCAGAGGTGAAAGGTTTAGGGCCATAAGGGGAGTTCCACAGACAGTCAGCCAAACCATTATGACAGAAAGGATGCTAAAGGGAGGAACGCAGGCAGGGGCTCGGGGTGGGAAAACCATTCACATTGCCCCTGGGAACAGTAGAGCTGCCATTCAACACTCACTAGAGGAACTGAATGATGAGGACAATTGCTTTTCTGCAAATTTGTGTGTGTGTGTGTGTTTCTAACGGCAAACTGCCACATTCTGATTTATTGTATTACTTGGAAAAATATAAATTCACATAAGATAATTATGCTTAAATAATAAATTAGTCAAAAGTGGTAGGCCTGAACAGCAAGGGAACATCTCTGTATAAATATGCTGACGCATTGTCTATGCCTAGTGCATAGACAATGACCCTGTGTGTGTGTGTGTGTGTGTGTGTGTGTGTGTGTGTGTGATTGGACAATGCCAACCTCTACTTGTAGACTGGTACCATCCCTTTGTTGCTTAATGGCAGTTAATTGAACTCTGAAGGATACCTGCTGAGAGTTTCTATTTTCTGAAAAGCAACTAGAGTGAACCAGGTGCCAGAAGCTCAGAGCCATAATCGTAGCTACTCAGGAGGCTGAGATCTGAGGATTGTGGTTCAAAGCCAGCCTGGACAAGACTACTTTCTTTTTTGAGGGGTCTGGTTGTGGGGCTTGAACTCTGGGCCTGGGTTCTGTCCCTCAGCTCTTCAGCTCAAGGCTAGTGCTCTACCACTTGAGCCACAGAGCCACTTCTGGCTTTTTTCTTTTTGTTTATGTGGTGCTGAGGAATCAGGGCCTCAGGCATGGAAGGCAAGCACTCTTATCACTGAGCTACCTTCCCAGCCCCTGGGCAAGACTATTACCTCCAATTAATCACCAAAAAAAAAGGTGGAAGTGGAGCTGTGGCTAAAGTGGTAGAAAAAAAGAGGAAAAATACAAAAGGCCCAAGGACAGTGTCCATGGTCTGAGTTAAGCCCTCGGGGCAGTGTGTGTGTGTGTGTGTGTGTGTGTGTGTGTGTGTGTGTGTGTGTATGTGTGTATGTGTAAAACACACACAAGAAAGAAACAAGAAGCTAGAGTAGATACAGGAAGTGAGCCCTACTTCTGCAGGGTACTGCCACATCTAGAGACGACCTAAAATTTCACCAAAGATCCTGGCCTTCTTGTTTTTCCAGGATATTCTAACAGATTGTAGGTGGAAGAGAAAGAAATGACAAGATGTGGGCCTTTATTAACTCTTGAGGTATTAGACTGCTAGCCTTGTAAGTACACTAATACTTCTGATTCCTTCTCAAACTATTTGGCGTTGCCTGTAGTCTAAGATAGTCTTTAACACACTGTCTAAAAAAGCTTGAAATGATAGTAAATAACTTAATATTGGTGAGTGGTCCTAGCAATATCAACTCCATTATGATGTTCTACAATGTTGAGAATGTCATCTCTTCTGACTTCAAGAAAGACATGTGAAGCTCTTCCAATCGTTGGTAGCCAACAGGTTGCATTCTACTTTATTTAGTAACTTGAAGAAACCTTTTTTTTTTCCTGCAGAAAATGTATGTTTATGTATACATATCAAATAGCCAGATGTCCCAAGGACCTGAGGTGAGAAGTTGGGCGGGGCCGCAAGGCTTACCATTGAGCCACTTGGAGTTGTACTGGGCGGTGCGGAGTGGAGGCAGAGCGCCCAGGCTCCGGTAAATGGCGGGATCACGACCAGGGAAGTCCATGGCGGTAGCAGCATAGAGCTCCCCACTGGCTGTGAGCAGGGCGGTGGAATTGTGCTGGGGACTGTAGGGACAGCGGGCCATGCCGCTGATCTGATCATGGATCTCGGTCAGGTTACTCAACTGTGGACATAGAGAAAAGGGAAACCAATTATCTCCAGAAAAAGCCCCTCCAATGGTCTCAGGGGTTTCATATCCCACAATTCCAAGCAAAAGGTTCAGAGCAAGCTCTCCTGGGCTCATGAGAGATGACAAACTTCCGTTCTCTGACTGCATGAAAACAGCTTGCTGTAGTTATAGATAGAACATTTATCAGCCACTCTGTCTGCTTTAGAGGTACTGAACCTTATGCTGTCAATACTCACGAAATTCAAAGTGAGATTATTGCATATATGGCATCGATTTAAAATGCATGAGTGGTGCCTATATTCCAACTCCATGAAGAATCCAGCTTCACTATTTATAGGTATATAAGTCACGATGAAAAACTAGGTACAATTTTATCAACGTAAGTGAACCAAAAAGTTATAAATACTTCTAAATACTGCTTCGTGTCACTACATGGGATATTCAGCACACTGTGTCCCCTGTTTCCTCCTCTCCTGTCAGTCTTAAGAAAGCCACCTAGGTACTAGGAGCATCGTGAATGAATCCTGCTCCCACATGTTGGTTTCAAGCCAGTCCCTGAATGAGCGCATTTCTTTGGGTGTAGGGGAATCCTGTCACGAACCAATTTGTTTCTTGACCCCAAACTGAATGAATAACTAGTTCAGAAGATTCAGGAAGGAGGAGACAGATACACTGCTGACATGGCTACTGGGTATATAGTCCTTGGGAGATTCCTAATCACTTCTTAGCTTACATTTTCCTTTTGTAAAACAGGGCCCCAAAGAGTAACAACCTCGTGGGGTAGATGTTGAAGAGGAGACTGAGGACGGGAACTTAGAACAGGGTGAAATCCAGGAATTGTCTGTGAACATCCCCTTTGCCCCCATTTACCATCTTCCTCCTACTCCTCCTTCAAAGACAAAAACTGAATGCTGATTTCAAAATAATGAAGATAAAACACACCGGATAATTTAAGATTTTCAAGAAAAGCTGTACTGCCAGGAAATTAGCATAATGGCATTTCCTCATTATATTCTCCAAGGAAAACTGGATTAATATTCAGAATTGGAGGATAGCATACATGTCTGATCACCCTGTCTTCCTTCTGCATAGACACCTATCAAAATTCCTCTGTCTATAACAACAGATTTTAGAAAAGAAAGAGGAATATTTATAAATTAGCTTGGCCCATGCTAACTTTATTTTTTGACATAGTTCTTATCTAGTTTGCCAATTTTATTTTCTACCTTTGGGTTGTGATTTTAGACCATTTTCATATTCAAATATGGCATGACTACAATAAAGTAGATTAATATTTAGGGTCACTGATGGGGAAAATGCTGATTGAAATAGTGAGAAACATAGTTAAGTATAATTACATAAGCTACAATTATTTCTGATTAGCTCTATCACCGATGAACTTGACTAGAAGTAAATCAAATATATATTATTCAGTTTGTAAAGAGGTGTTTTTAAATGTCACTGACAAACGACTAGAAATAAGTCAAATATATATTATTCAGCTTTTTAAAAGCTATCTTTAAATTGCCAGGTTACTCCTTAGTGTGTGCAAAGGTGTATGAAACGGGCTTTAATGCAATGTCTGTCTTCTCTTGAAAGTTCTGGGGTGCTACAACGGAGCCTTACCGAGCGGTTGGTGCAGACAGGTGTGAAGGCATTGGTCCCGCAGGTGAACAGCCGCTCACCCCCCACCAAAAGCACGCGGATATAGTTCTGACATTCCTCCTGAGAAAAACGAAAGCCACAAGAAGCACATTGCCCGAACATGGGAGGGATTGTGAGTAGAAATACAATTTTTGAGCTAATGAAGAAGTAAGCTTCTCAGATTCTAAACAAAAACACAGCAAAGCTGTTAATCTTAACTTTCTGTATCTACACACTTGTCCAAACATGAGCATATATAAAGGTAAATGTATATGCAATATAATAATATAAAATAGTAAATAAAATAGAACTTCTTTTGAAGGTACAGGTTTTAAATCTACCTGGACATACTTTAAGAAAAATAATTAAAGGAACCTATTAGAAGCTGTTCATGAGACAGGGCTCCAGAATAGACACCTGGATTTTCATAAAAATGTTCTAATGCCTCTCATATCGGGTCATATTTGAAACTCTACAAATTGGCATGAGTTTTTCTTTGTAGGTTTAACCCGAGTGTGTTACATCATGTAAATAAAAATATCACAATGAAACCCATTATTTTATGCAATTTTTATTTGATAATTATTATTTGTTATAGACAACACTTTTCTATAATGAATTGCTTTTTTCTTTTGCTCATTTGTGTTCCAGTACTAGGGGCTTGAGCTCAGGGCTTTGTTGCTATTGTTTGGCTTTTTTGCTAAAGGCTGGTATGCTACCATTTGAGCCACACTTTCTCTTCTAGCTTTTTGCTGCTTAACTGGAGATAAGAATTTTATGGATTTTTTTTTTTTTTTTGGTCAGAGCTGGCTTCAGATCTCAGACCCCTGAGTAACTAGGATAACTTGTGTGAACCACCAGCTCAATTAATTCAATGCTAAAAACGAGACTAAATATATAGCAAGTAATACTCTCTTTAACTCTTTGATTGACAACCAAAAACATAATTAATAAGGAAGGATAGATAGTTCAGAACATTTGGGGGAACCCCATGCAGAGGGATGACAAAAGGAATGCTTCTGTGGTTGCAAATTATTCAAATATGGCCATGGTGGTGATGTCTATGCAGAATCAACAGGCTTCCTTCAGTCAGTCAGCATTTACTGATTAGCTACACTGGTAGGCATGGTGCAAGAAGGTTAAATTTAAGAGAAAAAAATAAAAAACAGAGCCAATCATTTCATACGAAGCTGTTCATATGCTATCATGAGGCACATGGAGCTTATGACCCAGCTCCAAAAGTGAAGACAAGAGGAGCTGACACCTATGAGTCGACCTATGGATGGAGCTTAGCCAGCCTTCCTGGAAGAGGTGCTGATGGAGTGCAGGTAAGACTTCATGGGGCAAAGGGCGGGAAAACATCCAGGCTGGGGCATGGCTCTCCCAGAACACCGCACTGGGGATGCTCAGAAAGATACTGGAGGAGCTGGGAAGCCAGCCCTGGGCTAGAGCTGGCCCAAGTATGCAGCTGACTCTGCATGCTAAGAGAAGGGCTCCTGAGATGCTTTTACTACATCAAAATTGGGAATCACTCTCGTGTCTGTCATAGAAACAACACAACACAAAACAACAAAAACCACTTAGACACCAGTGTGAAAGGTGAGGTGTCATGGGGAGTCTGGAGCCAGAGAAGCAACTATGGCCGTCGCTGAGCGTTTGTCTTCCGTACCTGGCCAGGTGTGGCAGAGTGAACGGACAGAGCCAGAATCTAGAATGTATGTGTGATGGGCTGGGATTCCATGTGGACTGGAATCACACTCCCCCCCCACACACATGTAGGCCAACACAAGTCTGCCCTTCAGTGTCACGGAACCCCAGTCTCGGTGGCCAGGGAAGCCACGCTGCTGCCAGAGCCTTGCTCTGACCAGGAAAACGGTTGATACATTAGAATTTGCTTTGCAAGCATGGAGAGAAATATCATAAGTGGCTATTTATCTCAATGCCATTGCTAACGATGATAACCACAAATTATCATTTGCTCCCTAAATGAGAAAAATCAGGAAGAGCTAATAATAATTTGAGAGTCAACTTCTAGCCAAAAAAGGAGGATTTGTCTCTAATGTTTTTCTAACAAGGAAAAGGGCAGCAGGATTTCAAGGGGAGAATATAAGCAAGGGCTTCAGTTCAGCATGCGGTTATTCGTTCCCAGGCTGAGGCGAACAGGAGCAGAAACCTCCATCTCGGACGCCCGAGAGGCCCAGGAGTTTGGGAGAGGATGGGAAGACAACTTATGCCTGTCTGCAGGAGAGGCCTCCACAAAGGAAACTTCCAGAATGCAGGACCCAGTGCTGGGTGGACAAAATGAATGCCTCAGACACGCTAATGACACTATGATAAAGACAGTGAGGAAGGCAGGGTTTTGTTTGATTTTTTGTTGCTCTTTTTACAATTCTTTAAAGAACAATGGAAAGTGTAAAAAACAAAAAAACTGTTTTTTAAATATAAAGAACAGATTACCACAAGGAATAAATATGTCACAGGCGGTTAAGCAACCATGGGCAGTGTGGTTTAAGAGAAAATCACCTGGTTTACAAAGGCCTGGCCTCAACGTTGAGTGCTTCAGACCTGCTGAAGAGAAAACAAGTAACCTGGTCAGCGAGGGAGCCAGTGTGTAAGTCAGCCAGTGTGTGCAGTGATCACCAGGATAGAGAGGTATGAGCTGAACAGAGTGAGGGGAAGTACAAGTGGTCTGAAAAAAATCAGAATAAAGGGACATGACAGGGGGCACAGAACTGTTACCGTTGGAACAAAGATAAGGGATCATGTTCCAATCATGGAGACCATGGGAGAAAACAGGGCCACTGCCCTAATCAGCCTGTCATAGCTGGCTATTGGTAAGGAAGAAAAAGAAGGAAGGAAATCAGGAAGGGAGGAAGGAAAAACGGAGGCCATGTTGGAAATCAGGGCAATCAGGCAAGGAAATTAGTCCAGAATCTTCCTAACTGATGGGGGTGAACTCAGCTTTATGGGATCCAGAAGCGCCTTTCATGGATGAAGATTCATGAGGAAACAGGTAATGTTTTCAGCTGTGTTTGGTTATCCCATGTTCTAATATAACCACACAGGGTAGCGACAGGCTTAGTTGTCATCCAGGAGGCCAGGTCAAGATGTCCCCCTCACAGGTTCTTCAACAACCAGCTGTGGACTCAGGTGGCATCGGTACATCTCTTTTATCATCCGGAACTGAGCTCACCCCACTGTGTCTCAGGCCAGCCCTGTCTCGCTGAGCACACTCTTAGGAGAACACTGCTGCTTAGTTCACCCACCGCCTCATGTCAGTCCAGTTAACAGTTTGGATGGGAACTGAAATAATAATGTACTAAACAACAGTTTTTCTTAAAGAGACTGGGGCAAGATCAAGCAAAACAGAGAAGGGAGAAAGTGGAGGCACTTAGCTTTTATTTTATTTATTTATTTATTTATTTTTTTTGCCAGTCGTGGGACCTGAACTCTAGACCTGGGTTCTGTCCCTCAGCTCTTCAGCTCAAGGCTAGCGCTCTACCACTTTGAGCCACAACGCCACTTGCGGCTTTTTCGGTTTATGTGGTACTGAGAAATCGAACCCAGGCCTCATGCATGCAAGACAAGCACTCTACCACTGAGCCACCTTCCCAGCCCTGGTACTTAGCTTTTTGAGCCCAAGACATAGTGAGGAACTGGAGGATCAAGATTAGGAAGGAATGAAAATGGCACAGCATAGGGCTGGGTGATTACGGCCTCCTCTGAGGGGATTCTAAGACTGGAACTCTCCAGCCCAAGACCCGGCAGCAAATGAACTCTGTGGATCTCAGGTACAACTCAGCCTTTTCTCAGGTTTTCTAAACTTGCTTAAAATACCACTTGGAACCACCACTTTGAAATGTAAGGTTAGTGTGTGCAGGAGTCTCTCTAGGGGATTCTTTTAAAGGTTTCCTTTATAATGAGCATATTTAAATAACTGTGATTTTCTGTTTTTTTCGTCTAAGATATTTTCTTTCTTCTGTTCAAATGCTGTCCCTTGAAAATGGGTTAAGAAGATTGAATGGATTCTGAAGTCACAGGACACATCTGCAAGCCACTGGTTGAGAGCCACGTATTCACCGTTCCACAGTTCCACCTGAACACGGACACAACCCTCGTGTGGCTGTGCCCCAGAGGAAGGCCCACCTCTCCTGGCCTAGACAATTCGCATCTGAATCGATGTCTGAGGACGGTCCGTCACTCACGCATGTGGCTCTCCCACGGGAGGGGCCTCCAAGCCCCACATCCAACAACACAGGCCCCAGCCCCAGAAGAGAAAAAAAATCAAAACACAACACACCAAAACATACTCTAGATGCATTTTTCTTCACTAGTTCACTGGTTTTGCTCTCCTGCTTCTCATCTTGCTCCCTTCCCACAAACATCCCTGTCTGGCTACACAAGGATAACTTATACCCAGGGGAGACCCCCCCAGTGCACGCTGTGTGGCACCGGCCTCTCCCCATCCATCAAGTCTAGGGAGGAGGGAAGAGGGCCAGAGGCTGGTGGATTTGTTAACCACACTGCTCCTAGTGTCCTCCTCTTCATGATGTATTTTCTTGGAGAGCATCTAAAGTGCTCAAGAAACACTATTCATAGGGATTGTGTGAACCTCTTAAAATCTACTGTGAATTAACCAGACTCTTGAATTCCAGAAAACTCTTAAAAATACCTTCCAGCCAGATATATGTAGCCATGTGTAAAATATGATTAATTGTGCACACAAAATACAGATGAAAACACAGTTGTCTCCAGGCATCTATGATGACTGGGGCTCGGACGTGCCTACCCTCAGCACACCAAAATCTATGATGACTGGGTCTCGGACGTGCCTACCCTCAGTATACCAAAATCTGAGGATATTCAAGTCCCTCATATAGATTCTTAAGTTTGGGGTCAATGGGTCATGTCTGTCATCTTAGCCACTCAGGAGGTTGAGATCTGAGGATAATGGTTCAAAGCCAGCCCACACAGAAAAAGACAGTGAGACTCTTATCTCCAATTAACCAGCAAAATCCAGAAGTGGAGCTATCACTCAAGTGTTAGAGTGTCAGCATGGCACAAGAAAGCTAATGGATAGA